GTCCTCTTTGTCCATGTATATAATGTCCATGTGGTGCATATGTCCCATGTCTCTGTCAGTTCTCTGAATTTGGAGAGGGCAATTCTGAGGAACTCTTATAGCTACAGAATCCAGAAGTATTAATTTTATTTTGTTTATATCTTGTTTCATTCTTGGGTGCAATGTGGTTGTGTGAGAAACCCACTTGAACCCCTTGAAACCCAAATCCCTTGATCCCAGAACTGATTATGTGCCATCAAGTTTGTATTGACTCTTAGTGACCGCATCGATCCAAGAATACAGTGTATTAATCACTATATAGGTAGTCCTCACTTAACAACAGTAATTGGGACCAGTAACTCCATTGCTAAGTGACACGGTTGTAAAGTGTGATGCCCATGACTGTGCTGACTTACTACAGCAGTTGCAGCAGTTATGGTTGCCATCATTAAGCAAATCCCACATGGTTGTTAAGCACAATGTCACGTGATTGCCATTTGCAACCTCCTGTCAGCTTCTCCATTGATTTTGCTTGTCAGAAGGCGGCAGTGAAGGTTGCAAATGGTGATCACATGACTGTGAGATGCTGCAATCATTGTAATTGTGAGCTGGTTGCCAAGCACCTAAATTGTGATCACAGGACTGCAGGTACGGTGTGGCGGCTGTAACTATGAGGACCGGTTGTGAGTCTCCTCATTCAGCGCTGTCATAACCTCAAACAGTTGCTGAATGAGTGGTCTGTTAAATGAGGACTATCTGTAATACATTGAAACTGGCAGAATACCCCTACCCTTGAGCCACTGTAATTAATTCGGTCCCATTTCAGTGGCCCAAATGAAGAAAGAAAAATTACTTATTGCTACCTGTTGCCTGGATGATGAAAGCATAGCTTGTTCAATAAGGGTTGTTCAGAAAAGGAAATGGTGTCTCTTTTATTTTCTGAGAAAAGATGTTGACTTCACTCAACAGGAATCTCTTTTCTAAAATTCTAGTATCATCTCTAAAGGCAGAATTTAAGTCTTAAGTTGCTCTGATCATGGTGGTGAGCAATGGCTTCCGTAAGAAGCATTCATTGTGCCAGAAAGCCCACGCTATTCCTTTTGTCCAGAGGATTAGCCCTCGTTGGCTTCACATAACTAGACTAACTTAAAAGGGGACTGGATAGTTTGTTGTTCTGCACTGTGGGATCCCAACCATTATTTTAGTATGCTGTCGAACTACCTCACCACATTAAGCCATAATGTGGATGGTTTCAGCATAACGTATTATGTGAACTACAACAGTTGCATTTTGTAACTTGGGTGGATTTAGGTAATAGGTTAAACTTAAATTAGGATTTTAATTATGTCCCTTTATGACTTGTATCTGTGGTCTTGCCTATTATGTTTTTGCTTAAGGACATTCTTGTTATGATACTGCTGACTACCTTTGGAGATGAGGCAGGTTGCAAGTCTTTAAAGTCAATATGAAACATGAAATAAATGAGAAAAATCACAGGGGAATGAATGGAGTTGGGAAATGTGGTTTGTTGTGCCATGCCATATTCTCACAATGCAGGAACTAAAGCAAGGTTGAAGCAAGAAAAATAATTTTTATTACGGTATTATGATGAATTTAGATCAAAGTATTAACCATTTGGTGTCCAGTGGTAATTTGCAAGCTTGCTCTGGAATAATGCAAATGTGTTGTTTTGATAATTAGGGCTAAATGTTTGTAGATAAAATCTCAAGGATCCTTTAAGCTGGTCAGATGAATGTACACTATCTAGTTACATTAATTAGTGCTAATAACACCAGTCATATATGATCCACGATCACTACGGGAAGGACAGAAGTTTGTGAGCAGTACATTCTTAGGAGAGGCAGTGTAATGCTGCGGTAAGACTTATGTGTTTGGGTGTGAGGATGATCCCTGGCACAATGGATTGCCAGGGTTGGTTTGGCTGATCTAGCTGACTAGGCAGGTGTCCCTTTCCTCCCTCACCACTCCATGCACACCTACTCAAGATCTATATTGTTCTTTGGTCAAGGATATACAATGGCTGTGCTAAAAGTTCCAAACAAGACTTTGTGCTACATGCAGAAACCTGAGATTCACTTTTCAACGTGCAGGTGATGGAAAAGATATTGTGGGGCCACTGCTAGTCAGAAGGGATAATATACTGGGCTTGAGGAACAAACAGTCTGATCTGGTATACTTTCCTTATACTTGAGGTAAAAAATAGATTTATTAAGAATACATAGGATATGAAAGCCTTCCTTGAAGAGAAAGAAACAAGAAACAAGAAGGTCCCTAGTCTTTTGAACACAGGGTCATTTTAGGCCAGGTGAGAGACAGGCATAGGGGCAGCATGAGAAAACTCGTCTCCTTTGTGATCAAAAGGCTTATAGGTACAAATTGACCAAATGATAAAGCATGGCAAAATCCCTCACTCGGGGGCCTCGCACTGTTTGATCAATCCAAGAAAGGATGATCTAGGTTTCCCTTCCTCAACAGATCAAGGGAGAGTGGATCAAGAAATGGACCTTTCCAATTATTGCCATATCCCTGTGCAGTATGCTGGCCTCTGAAATCTGTATGGACTCCATACTCTTAATTTTATGCAGCGTAATGCAGGCATTGCTCCTTTCTGAAGTATTTTGAGAGTAATGTCTGCAATATGGATTGTCTCTAACTCTTGTATGTTCTTTATCTTTTCCTTATCTTTATACTGTATTATTATTGTGATATTTATGTGATAATTTTATTTGGATGTTAGTCACCTTGAGTGTTGGAGCTGAATGAGATATGTTAACAAATAAGTTCTTCAGCCATCCTTTCCTATAAATTGATTAATACAGCCACCAAACACTACACTTCTTACTGTCTCAGGACTTTAGCTTTTAATATTGTATTGCTTATACATAAGACAAGTTTCAAAACTGGAGTATAACAATATGGATTTATTTTTCTTTCTTGCCTGCCTGCCATTTAGATCACTGTTTTTTTCTCAAGATGGAAAAAAGCAGAATGTGTGAGATCCTGAGGGTTTTAAGCTTTACAAAGGACAATCAAAAGTGGGAAGGCATTATATATATTCTAAGCCCCCATATAGAAGAAGGTGGAAGATTTGGCTTTCTGTCAACATCTTGCATAAATGGTATGTAAGGCATGCTCTACTGGGATATTTTCTTGAACACCAATTGAAATACTGTGGACTTCCATACATTTCAATAGGGGAAAACTTTTTGCTGGACTGTGCTACAAATCCTTGATAAAGGCAAGGTAAATTGTAGCAAAGGTTTGTTTTACTTTATAGATCAAGGCAGCTTGAAATGGCAATCCACGATGACTCACTGTCACTATGGATTAAGCATGACAGCAGCATTATTAACACTGTAAACCTAACAGCACTGCATGCTGCTATGTAATGAATATAACAGGTCAAAGATCATTTTCATACACAAAGTTTGCAAGTGCATTTTTGAAAGTTATCACTTCTGTATGAAGGGAATGAGAGGGTAACGAAACAGACATATGAAAATCAAAATATTCCGACCAACTTTTTATATTTGCATCACAAAACAATCTGAGCATGAAAATGCCTTTGGGCAGTCTTTAAGGAGTAAAAATACTTCTCTATTACATCTTTATTGTCAACAAGCCACCTAAACAACCCATCTTTTCATTCTCTCCTCTCAAGAAAAATAATCCTTTGTTCCCAAATTGTGGTGGGGTGTGAGGTTCTAACAATTCATCAAGAAATGGATGGTTCTCCCCCAACCTACCACCCCCTTTCAGGCAAGCTACATGCAGCTCAGCCAACTTACAGCATTAATTAAAAACAAGAATGATTTGCCATTTAAAGAAACATACTTCAAGCAGTTACAACTAAAAAAGAAAGTGGATTTTTGTTTTAATTTAAAAGCTCAAAAATAACAAATGGTATATTTTTTGAAACAAATAAGAAACACTTAAACGTAATATATAGTCTATGATACAATATACACTATAATACACAAAAGGAGCTGTATCAGATGTAAAAAAAAAGGGGGGGATCCAGTGAAGTAAACAAAACAAAACAAAAAATGGGGAAAGACTGAGAATATTCCATTTTTGAAAAGGGTTCTTGCATTTCAGCCCCCAAATCATTAATGATTTCTAACAGAGCTTGACAATGCAAATCTGCATTGGCCTGTAACTCCAATTCACCTATATAACCAAGCAATGGAGAATTGCATACAGATTGCCCTCGATTTTCCATATGGCTCATACATAGCTTTTTGCCTGCACTTCTTACTGTCTACGTCAGAGTATATGGCTACAATCCCACAGCTCTGGTATATATATACATGGGAGCTCCTCTTCATGTATGGACATCTTCCACTTCCTTGAACAAAGTGCTGCTGCTGCTGCTGCTGCTACACCCCCCCTAGAAACCCCTGTTATGTACAGAGCACACCTGGTTTGTAGACCACCATCAGATCATAGAACTCTTGCATTTTGATAGGGATTTTAGGCTGTGCCTGCACTGTTAGGTAGGACAAAGGATTGTTTTGTTTCTAAAGAAATTATTAAATTAAAAAAATGCTCACAATACATAATTTGAAACTGGGGAAAAATATAAGGCAACATTCTCCGTAGAAAAAACAGGGAGCTTCCTAAGGAGGTTTTTTTTTTTTTTTATTTATAGGATTTTATTTTTAGAATTTTTTTTTTTTTTAATATTT